GGTATTGCGTTCTTCTTCTTACCGTGTGTTTCTATTGTCAATTTTGTTTAATATTTATTACTACATGTACAGTATTACTATAAATTATAACAATATTAAAACTATGATAACATTAATGATAATAATGATAACAGCGAGAACATGAAAACCATAGGCAACAAAAACAAAGGCTGACGTCATGATGCAGCTCTTGTTACCGTCAACACAACCAAAAACCTTCCCTTCTTCCTTTTCTACCACCGCTGCGACACTTATTACAGAGGCATAGTATGGATTCATCTCTCTCCGTGGTTTTATGCACCCCGCATAATTTAGCAAAATTTGATTTTTTTTCTCTTATTTTCCTGTATCATCCTTTGTTAAAACTAACAGAATTGCATCATTTCACATTTTTGGACTCAGTTAGCATAATTCAGAATTTTTCTTGCATAAAACGACGGGGACAGATTTACTGGAACTTACACAGTACACGGAAAGGCGTTATGGGACGAAAGCTCCGCATTTAGGTTCATCTTCTATATGACAGAGCCAAGGGGGTAGAGTGCCTCGAAAACGTATACAGGTACAGCGACTACTTCTTTAAACACTATTGTCAATTATAAGAGCGATAATAATAGAGCTGATGATAGTAAACCCAAGTGATATCACGAGGAAAGATAAATTACAGCAACAAGATCATCGACAGGGACAACACAGCGGCACAGTGAACATGCTGAACCACACCCCTGGAGTTACCACACCCCTGGAGTTATACTTTGATAACGCATTGTTCTAAAGAAAACTACAACTTGCCTGGTTGGTCAGCTGGTGGATTTTCTCCAACCCAAACCAAAAATTGCCCCTGAGGTTGCCGAATCCGTTCTTATAGTCAGCCCATCCACGAAAAAAATCTACGTCCGCCGAGGCACGTCTCTGTAGACATAACAGAACATTATGCCAGTTTGTGAGGCCATACATTCAATGAAGCATGTTAAACTGTGCTTATCCGAGCTTCTTTCTAGTTCTTGTAATAAAACTGTACCCGAGTACAAAGTAATTTTTGGGAGTATAATTACAGTTTCTTTTTTAAAGACCATTTTTAACAGGACTGAAGCTTACTAACTTTTTGTCTCAAATCCCACATTCAGTTTCATCATAGTATTGTAAAATTGATGAAAGGTTTAATTGAAGTATGTCTTGGGAGTATTTTTTCCATTTAGATTTACTTAATGATAATAATGATGATAATAATAATAATAATAATAATAATAATAATAATAATAATAATAATAATCGATACCATTTGTAT